AAAAAAAAAAAGAAATAACCATATTAGAAATTATTAGATTGTAAACTTCTTGAGGAAAAATTTTATAAATCTTCACATCTCTCACAGTTCCTTCAACTGTGGTTTTAGAACATTTGCTTTGGATCAATTTTTGTGGTTTTTAGGTGACTGATTTAAATGTTTATCAGAAGTGCTTGCATTCCAGTAAAAGTAAAAATACCAACAATGTAAAAGAACAATCGAAAAGCATCCATGTCAATATGATTTTTAAAAAATATAATGCACAAATAGTAAAAAGAACTTACCAACTCTATCAGGGAGGACTTCAAGTGCAGAAACTCTTTCATCTTTGTTAAGTTCTAGTCCATAAACACAGTCAAATCCGTCGTATTTTATAAGATACAAAGAAGGATTTACAGGCACCTGGTCCAGAACGGTTCCTTTCCACTGGGTAACAGGGCCATTCCCCTCTTTCCACCCATGCTGAATCCTGCAGCCTACGATGTTCCGCCGGGGCTGGGAAACAGGTTTGTTGGGCCCCACACTGCTTCGATGTTTTCTGTATTCACACACATACACACATAAGGTATTATCTCAAAAGTATGCACGCCTAGATCCAACAAAACTACTGGCTAGCATGCTCTCATTACAGATGATCCCAAGGTAGGTGCAAACTCAAGTTTGCCGCATTCTTGCTTCAGGTGACTCAAGGTGCCTATCTCTTACCCCTGTGGCAGTGGTGGCTCAAAGGTGAGGTCCTTCTCCATCACCAAGGCTGTAAGGTGGCATGTTAGCAACAGGAGCTTGTGAGGTTGTGCACCTGAACTATGTACAGGCAGAAAAAAACTACTAATCAGTAGCAACTCAACCCTATTAAGTATCATGTTTTCAGTTTCCTTTAATTCAATCAACTCACAATTATCCATGAAGTAGACTGAACCAATAATTACACATGCACATAGCTTTACATAATGTGAGTCAATTTCAAGTCAAAAAGAAATGTGTAACCAATCAACTTCACTCATTCTAATGCCCAAATAATTCTGCCCCTACTGGCTTAAACAATAAGAATAAACTACACATGTAGTTTTTTTCTTAAACTGGAGTCCAGGATGGCTTATACAAATGCATTATACCACCATTACTTCTCTAGGAAACATATTATCTTAGCTAAACTCTTAAGTTTATGACCAATACTTAATGTAATATTAAAACTTATTAGAAAGACATCAAACTATATTGATTCTGGATTATTAGCAACTGACTTACATATGTTTACAAATAATACACCTGGCTCTTGATATCAAGAGTTTCCTCAAACAATTACAGATAGATCTGCCATATGACCCAGTTATCCCTCTGCTGGGTATATACCCAAAGGAATGGAAATCATCATGTCAAAGGGATACCATGTTTACTGCAGCACTATTTACAATGGCCAAGAGTTGGAACCAGCCTAAAAGACAATCCTCGGAAGAGTGGATAGGGAAAATGTGGTATATCTGTATGATGGACTATTACTCTGCTGTAAAAAAGAATGAAATACTACCATTCACTGCAACATGGATGGACTTAGAGAAAATTATATTAAGTGAAATAAGCCAGGCACAGAAAGAGAAATACTGCATGTTCTCACTTACATGTGAGAGCTAATAAAAATAAATAAATATACAAACAAACAGGGAAAAACAAAAAAAAGGAGACACAACAATCACAATAATCCCCTGAACTTGTTAAGTGAACAGATATGATGTTGATAGGGGGAGAAGGAGGGAGGAAAAGGAGGAATTGGTAAAGAGACGTGAAAATCAACTACATTGTCTATTGATAAATTAATATAAAAAAATAAAATAAAATAAATAAAAATTTGGCCAGCAATCTACTGGGTATATACCCAAAGAAAATGAAGACAGTATGTTGAAGAGATATCTGCACTCCTATGTTTATTACAGTATAATTTACAATAGCCAAGATATGGAATCTGTCCAACAACAGATTAAAAAAAAAAAGTGGTATATATACATGATGGAATACTATTCAGCCATAAAAAAAAAAATGAATACTGTCTTTTGTGGCAACATGGATGGAATTGGAGGACATTATATTAAATGAAGCCAGGCACGAAAAGATCTTCCCAGTGTTTCTCCTCTGTCAGAACTATAGAGAAATCAGATAAATCTCCATTTTCATTATTTTATTAAAATTAACATTAAAAAAACCAATCTTTTAAAGTGTGATTTATAACATGCTACCATGCCCTGTCCATAAAAGAACTTAAAGTAGTTTAATTCTTCACCAGCTAACATGAAAAATGTGATCTACATCCTGAGGTAACCAAAGGAGACTAGCCTGAAATTAAAATTTTCCAAACGTTTATTTTATTGATCTTTCAAAGATCAGATTATCTGATTTATTTATCAGTTCTACTGCTTATTTTTCTATTTTCTAGTTCCTTAATTTTTATTTTTCTTGGAATAATTGTTTTTAAAAAGTTTATTCTTGTCTTATAATAAATTACTTAACACTATGAATTTTCCCTTTAACTACAGCTCTGGCTATATTTCTTAAGTTTTCATATGTAATATTCTAATTTTAGAAAAACTCTAAATGATCTATGAGTTTTAGTTTTTGTCTATCATCCAAAAATTGCTTGAGAAAGAGCCTTTAAATTTTTCTTATAATTCTCTTTCAAAAAATACTTCACCATTAATTTTTAGTCCCATTGCATTTTTATAACAGCTTTACTGTTATAATTCATATACCATAAATTTCACCCTTTTAAAGTATGTAAGTTTTAGTGTATTTAGAGTTGTGAAATAATCACCACTAATTTTAGAAGATTTTCATCATCCCCAAAAGCCCTGTATCCATTAGCCGTTACTCCCTAATAGTTCCATACTCCTCAACCCTAGAAACTTCTAATCGACTTCCTATTTCTATAGATTCTCCTGTTAGTGACATTTCATGTAAGTGGAGTCATACAATATGTGATCTTTACTCTTCTTTCACTTAGCAAAAGGTGTTCAAAGTTTATTCATGGTGTAACATATATCAAAACTCCATTCCTTTTTACGGCTGGAATAGTATTTCATTGTACATAATTACCACATTTATCTGTCCATTAGCTGATGGACATTTGGGTTGTTTCCACTTTTTGGTTATTGTTAATAATGCTGCTATGAACTTTGCATACAAGTTTTCGGGTGGATATAATTTTTTCATTCTTCTTTGGTATATACCGATACCAGTGGCATTGCTGTGTTATACTGTAATTCTATATTTAACATTGAGACACTGTTAAACTGTGCTGCATCATTTTACTGTCCAACCAATGATATCTTCACATTCCAGACAACCTTATTATTATCTTTTTTGTATCTGTTTTTGGTTTTAGTCATCCTAGTGGGTGTAAAGGGGTAGCTCATTGTTGTTATGATCAGCCTTTTTCTAATGACAAATGATGCTAAGTCCTGTCAGGCAGGAATCTCAGATTCTTCTGCCTCTTCCTGTGCAGGTCGTGAGTCAGGTAACTGCAAGAAGATATCTGGCAGCTTTATGCAAGGTAGACATATTTTATTCTTCAGGTATGAGCTTCACAGACATGTGCTCTGCTGTTCTCCCACCGTGCTCTGCCGACGAGCAGTTCAGAGCAGTTACCCTTTACTCTTAGTACACAACAGCGGCCACAAGCCAAGCATTACATAATTACAACAATCATGCTGAATCAGTAAATGGGCACGCATGCACAGTTACACTACTTTTATAACTTGTTTCTAGTGAATGTGCTGAATCTTGCCCATTTGTAACAGATGTAAGGCGAGAGATCCTGACTAAACTTTTCTACTTTCCTTACAATCCACCCCTTCAGAGTAACTCCCCATACAATCTACACATTTGATCTTCTGCATGTTCCCTTAGCGAGAATAACTGACCCTTGTATCAATAGGTCACAGCAGCAATACAGGCTGCAGCAACACGCTACTAAAACACAAGCACTCCCTCCTGAAACAGTTAATTTACCATCTTGAGAAAGAATAGATGAAGGAACAGGTGTCTTACCTGTTCTACGATACCACACATTATCAGCTAACACTGTTGGATCTGTAGGTTCTACATGTAACAGTATAGGGGAACTCATAATTGGCCACATGATAGTACAAATGTACCTTTTAAAATAGAGCATTTATCTGTTCCAGGCCACGTTACCTTTACTTGGGGAGGCCAAGTACTCGTTACCTAAGGTGAGACTTGCAAGTTGTCTTCTAATCCTCTCCCCCAAGGTCCAACTAGGCCTACCCAGCATACATGGGGGGGAGGCTTCCATTTTCCAAGGCCATTCCCACTGTACTGTCTGCCCCTGTTGTAAACAGGTTGGGGCTGGTAAGAGAATATTTCCATTCTTACCGTGTCCAGGTTTCAGGAGATCACCTTTAACAGTTACGTGCAATTGAATAGGTGCTGCAGCTCTGTGCAACAGGGCTCCACCGGAGAGGGCCCTCCCTTGCAGGGTCTCTTTTTTTGGGTCTGACTGTTGGCCACAACCAATGTGTCTATCCCTTCAACAACGGGGGGCTGGCAGACAGCCTTAATCCCCTTTTCAAAAGACCATACATAGCAATAAGGCTACTCAATGCCTTCATCACAGTGCTTACCTGGTCTGGGACCCTACAAGGCCATACAAACAAAAGACCAGTAATTCTCTGACTTTGGTAGTGGTCCAAAGATCCGCCTGCCACTGTGTCAGAGGCACTCTCACATGGGTTATCTGCCCATCAGGGGCACTCATTTGCTCATCAGGAGTACATCTGCCCTGGATTACATCTTTCTTGGATTTATTTGGCACCCCGCAGGCAATCAACCACACGGTCATGCAGCCAGCATGCTGCATTCTTTGATGTAGCCGCCCAGCTACACCAGCTGCTGGAGTTCTCTCCAGCCACCTTACTTTAGCCAGCGTGTCGGCTTCATCACTGCCTGGACTGGCTAAGGGGGAATGTCCTGTGACATGGAAAAGAGTTACTTTCTTTTCCTGTCCTAATTCCCATAACTCTTGCCACATGGCTTGCCCCCACGAGGGCTAGTGACCTACCAGCCACCACTGATACTTCCAAGTAGAGATCCAAAGGATCAAACCCTTGAATACAGTCCAGCTGTCAGTACAGATGGTTAATAATACTGGCTCATTTTTTATCACCATCCATACTACTCTTAGTTAGCCCACTGGCTGCTTTGCCCTATACCATTCTCATACCACAAGGTATGTTAAGGGCTGGACAGCAACAGCAGTCCATGATGCTGAGGGTCCCATGCTGGAGCCATCTTTATACCAAGCCTGCTCCGCAATAGGTCCCCTTCCCTCATGGAAAGGTGTGGTCTCCACCTCCATGGGTATAGTTGTGTCAAAGTTTCTTCCTCAATCCCTACTGGTCCTAACACAGTTTGTAATTCATTAGACAAAGGACTTGTAGAAACAGTACTTCTCTGTTCTTTATATGCTCCCCATTTAGACAGACTAGGAGTCTGAGCTACATCAGTTTTAGGGGTGGATATCTACATGTA